TGTGTGTGTGTGTGTGTGCGTTCGCGGGGGTCAGCGGGTTTTCTCCTCCGTTCGAGCTGCTTCTCGTCGAGAGATGCGTCGGGTTCCGTGTTGGCAACCTAGCGACTGTGAGCTTAAATTATTAGCTGGTCTGGACGCAGGCCTAAAACAATCCAGTGCTGCATTTCAGACCAGTGTATCAACACTTGGAAAGCTCAGTCGAGTTGAGCGAGACATCACTGCTGAGTTTAACTACCACCGCTCTATTCAGAATAGATGCCCACTGTGGCAGTTTGGCTAAAAAAGACAGAATCTGCAGCTACGGTGGCTCTAGGAGGCTGAGTTTAACTGTTATTGCTGTTCAGAATAGATGCCCACTGTGGCAGTACGGCTGAAAAGTCGTCAGCTGTAGTGGCTGTAAGAGGCTGTACTCACCCCACCGGTAAGCTGGTGATGTTTAGCAGGTAAATAAATACAGCATGCATTCATTTTGCAAGTATTTCGGTCACACACCAAAGCACTGGGCATTTAGCTTTTTGACTTCATGATGGCACTAGATTAAAAGCCAGTCTGAGTTAGACGGGCCTATAAAAAATTCAATAGTACCAGTAGATGTCCGTGGCCCTACAAGAAACCTCAGACGATCACTAAAGTCACTAAAGGATTCATCTTCTGGGGATAATGAATGTGTGATTGACATTTCTTAGCAGTCTTTCCTGTAGCTGTTGAGCAACTTCAGCCTGCATTGAAGGGTTGGACCCAAAAACTGTTCATAAAAAATGGGTGTAGCTTTTATGGTTGATGAGTAAAATCATTACAGAATTGCCTCAAGCCTGCATTATTTCTTGCAACCAGCAGGGGGCGACTCGTCTGGTTGCAAAAACAGGTCTGGCTCGGTAGAAATCGAGGTGAAAATGCTTGAACTTCTTACTTGATTTACTATCTCAGTAAACATTTTAATAATGAGTTTATGGTTTCAATCTGTAGTTTCAAGTCTTCTTCATGAAAGCATGATGTTAATTTTTTGAATGGTGGTTCCATTTTGAGGGAAATAGATGACAAAGCGGGGCTTGCTTTCAGGCATGGCTACCTTTTTGATCGACGCCATACAGGCATGCATGGTGTACTCAGGTTTTCAGTCCGATCCAGCCCTCGCCGGCCATGTCTGACCCAAGAAAAAGCAAAATGGTGAAGCTTCAAAACAGTAGTTTATAAACCAATGGGTGATGTCACAGTGGTTGCATCCGTCATTCATATACAGTCTTTGGTTGCAGCTGAAAACACTCCTGACCTTGCTGTACCCAGAATCACACAGATAAGAATAGAAATGCTCTGTAATGCTTGTGAACCAGACACACATAAACAACAGCTCGTTCTCAAATCAAACATAAGCTGAATACGTTGATGCTAACCATTCCCCTCTGTTTTCTGCATTCACAGGATCCCGCCGGCATCTTTGAGCTGGTCGAGCTGGTGGGAAATGGCACCTACGGGCAAGTGTACAAGGTACGATAGTCACATAAACAGACTTTGATACATATTAGCCTGTCACTCTGATAGCAGGCTCCTCCGTCTTATCGGCCTTTGTTTACTCTCTCGAGCAGGCCTACGTGGAATAGAGAACAGAATTGTGCATTGTGAAGCAGAGTATAGGATAGAATGCACCGGGTAAAAGCAGCCCACAAGCTCGAGAGAAATGGAGCGAATGTAAAAGATACTTAAATGCAGAGAGGAAGAAGCAGAATCTGGGGCGCATTAAACTACTTTTAAGAAATTTCCCCTCGCCCCTTCTTCTGCGTTTTCTCAGTACTGCTCATTTATACGTCTCTGCAGTGGTTTTGTGTATTTACCCTTGTAGACGAGATATTTTCGGGGTTCCTCTATGACACAGGAAATGCTCAAGTCGATCTACCGCGGTAACATGACTGTGGTTTGAGCGTTTTTTTCGCTGTCAGATGGACTCAGCTGTTTCCCGCAGTTGTTCGAGCAGTATCTCTCAGTCCATGTCACTGCCTGAGCTTCCTCTTCCCTCCATGACAGCGCATCGCTTTCTGGTCCTCGCTTCCTTTTCCTGAATCTGCTGCTTTATCCTGCCACTCTGCAGGATGTGGCAGCAGCCTGTTTAATCACCTCTCGCTGGAATAAACTTGTGTTTGTCACCTCTGCCAAGGAGATTATGAGTGGTTTGTTTGTCTGTCAGCAGGGTAGTGCAACAAACTACCAGGCTGATTTTCATGGAACTTGGCGGAGAGGTGGGCAAAGGAGGAAGAACTCGGTGCAGATCTGGTTTTGGTTATACATTCACACATCAAAGAAGAGTGGATTGTTGTTTTTGGCGGAGTTTTATGAGTGTCCTTCTAGTGCAAATATATGGACGGCATGTGAAAGTCCCATGTGTGTGTGTGCACCGTATATTGTGAGTGTGGGAGAGCGTGCCTAATGGAGCAGAGAGTCAAGGTCAGGTGGTGATGGAGAGGAGCTATTCGTACAGCTGATTGAACCAGATGAAAGGTCAGACGGAGGTCAGACACGCGTTCTCTACGCCGCTAGAAATAATCCGGCATCCTCACGTGTACGCGCTTGTTTGTAATAGGGAGAGAAAAGGAAGGAAAAAGCACAGAAGGAATAGGGAACAGGAGAGTTATGTGTATCCATTTATTGCTGACTCTGCGCTCCGCTGTCTTGGTGAAAGTCACGGCTCATTTACCGGCTGACATTCAGCCAGTCCCATACATTAACGAGCCACAGAATGCCTATAGCAACAGCACCGGCCTGGTGGGTCTGAAGCCCGTACAGCTGATCCGCACGGGTTTTTGACCGGGTGATATACAGTCCATAAGAGTCTATGCAATCGTGTGTTCTTCTACTGCGGTTGGTTGACAGCAACGAGAATTTCAATATTTAACATTTTGAAAGTGTGCGATATTCCTAAAAAGTTGATTAGATTCAGCAATTTGCTTTTAAACTGATGATTTATAGTGCAAAGTATACTAATTTTTCTCCCAATTAGGCTCATTAAAAAATGAAATGCACACGTCTAACTGTTTGTAGGAGTATACAAGAAACTAAAGCAGTAGTTTAAATCCCAGATATGAAATTAAGCAGCACCTATTATGATGAACGACCTTCCAAATCCAAAAAAACCTGCCAGCGGGTTTGAATGGCATGTTAACTTTTTCAATTTATCAGAGTTAGAAACTGTAAAAACAGAACTAATCATCCGATTTTCATCATTCCAACAGTCCTTGAACGTGACTTGAATCGCAGTATTGGTCAAAATTACTAGTGATGCACGATATTAACATTTCTGGCCCATACCGATACCTGATATTAAGATTTCTGGTATCACCGATAACCGATATTATCGATATTCAGTATTTGTTAACTCAGACAAATGAGTATAAGTAAGCACTGTGAGAACGTAAAAAACTAAAAAGAAGCCCAAATGAGACTCAACTCAACTCAACTCAAACTTTATTTATAGAGCACATTTAAAACAACCGGGGTTGACCAAAGTGCTGTACAGAATGAAAGCAGCATGGAACAACAATTTAATAAATAAAATAAATACTGAAAGCAGAGACCACATAGTCTTCTTTATTACAAAGGTAAAACATATTTAAACATATTTAAACATATTTAACGTTCAAGTCCAGGACCATTTAAGTAAAAACATCCATGAAATAGCAGCAATATCAAATGTAGAGACGAAGGCACTAATGTTAGACAATCATCGGCTAAATTTGTTCTTCGGACCGATACCGATATATGGGAAAAAACACTAATATTGACCGATACTGATGTGATCGTCGATATATCGTACATCCCTAAAAATGACTATATTCTTGGGTCTCATTTAATAATTTACCACAAATAGATCGTTTGCTTGAATCAGATTCTTTAAAAAAACAAATAATTCTGCACTTCTTAACAGAACCGTGAAGCCGTCAGTGGCTCAGCTGTGACCAATAGTCACATGAGGAAAAATTCAGGAAATTGGCTGAGTTGTGCTGAACTGCAGGCTGTGTTCAGACAAGTATGGAAACAAATCAAAAATGTAGGTAATAAAATATATATGTATGAGGAGTCACCATTTTTTCCCAGCATTGGCAACATCTCTAAAAATGTTCTACAGGTTGATTCCAGTTTTTTCTAACTTTTGTAATAAGAGCAATCCAATTTTTGTCTTTCTTTTATGATTCATGATTCATTCTAACTTTGTGATTCTGAACAACAGTTCTCTGTACTATACTTGCGCTGTTTCCATAGAGGTGCAGGACTTTACATTGCAGTGAAAAATGAACCAGTTGTGAATAAAAATGTATCAGGAAAACTATTCATTAGTTCCAGCTGCTCAGTTATGAGGTTTTTTTCTGCTTTTGTTTGCCGCATGTGAACGGACACCACATATCTTGGGATTCTAAACAAGCAATTGGAAGATGTAATGAAAAAGTATTTGCAGCCTTGACAGAAATATTTACATATTTTAAATTCTAAATCGTGGTATAAAAGGCAGAAAACAAAGTGCTTTGTCGTCGGTTTTGGAATATTTCCCATTCGGTGCTGTAGAAATGTAAACTAGAAAAGATTGGACTCATACATACAGATAAGGAGCAGAGTCACTTGAGCAAAAATGTCATCTATTTTAAATTTCTCATGCGGTTGAGGTCCCTCGTGTCGGCAAGCCGCCTGAAGAGGATCAGCGTCTTGCGAGCAGGTGAATCTCTGACTCACTGAGATGATAAATTGACCTTCAGCCTGGTGGGTATTAGTGAACTGGAATTGCTCCAGCTCTCTCTGAATCATTTTTAAACACTTGTTATTTGGGAAAAATAACACACACAGGAATATCTTTCTGTATATAGCCTTGGAACTGTAGTATTACCGCGTCTGGATCAGCGAATCTCTCGCCGGTGTTGCTGTGAAATGTGAACACAGGTGAATTTTTTTTGCTTCAGATGTGAAGATTAGAGTCAGGCGGGCTGATTTTACTGCTCATTCTGATTCCAAAAATACATTCGGTGGCCAGAGACTGCTTTTGCTCTGATGTTTCTGTGATCACAGCTAACAAGTTAGGCCTTGATATTTTCTTTCACACCACAGCAGTTTAAAAAAAACAAACTTGAAAATCACCAGAAAACATACACAACCTACACAAGTTAATTTATTGCGAAATATATGCAAATGAACAGCAAATGTCAGTGTTATCAGCTCTGTGTTTACTGTTTTCATTTCACTGAAAGCAAAAAGCTTTTCTGCGGTTAAACAAATTTCGTCTCCGTCTGAGCTTATTGAAACTTTAATAAGCCTGTTGGACGGAGTGAAAAATGCATCAGTTAGCAGCTAAAAACAGCCGCATCTCCTCGGAAGATGACATTTTTTTTGACATTTAAAGCCTAATTGAACAGAAAGATGATAGAAAAACAACACGGAAGACGGTGTTTTGTCACGGTTTGCTCAATTCTTTCTGCAGCAAAAAAACTGCTGCGGTAGTTTTTCCACTATGTGTAATGAAGCCAGAGATGTAGGTTTATCCATGCATGCATCCTTCGGCGTGTGTGTGTTCAGTAATGGTCAGTGTTTTATGTTATTGGTGGTCGAAGGCCAGTAATGTGCCACGTAGCTGCACTTCTGCGGGTCTGGGAGCAAGCGATAACAGGTTTATCAACAATTCCATTACCCCATCTAGTTAAATGATACAGATCTGCTCCTTAGTGCTCTCTCCTCTCTTGCTTTCTCTCTCTTTCTTTCCCCTCCGTTGCTCTCTTTTCCTTCCCACGTGTCCCTAAAATCTGCATTTCCACAGAAAAAAAAAAAAAAGTTGTTCCACATTGTTTCCCTGACAGAAAAGAAGCAGTCCGGCCAAGAGCGGTGATAGACGAGTAGCCGCAGTGAAAAGATAATTTTAGCCTCCCTCTGTCTCCCTCTCTCATCTTACATATCCGTGGCGGTTATGACTCCTTTGTCTATTCATCCCTCCCTCCCTCCCTCACTTTTTCATCCGTTTTTTTTTTTTTTTTCGCTTTTGTGGATTTTCTCCTATCAAATCATATTTTTTCTTCCCGCTCCCTCCCCGCCTCCCTCCCTCTGTGTTTTTTTGGGTTGAAACTTCCCCAGCGAGCTGTGCTTAAGGGAGCAGCCTGTGCCTACAGTACGTGTATATATAGCTTCTACTGGCTGCTTTAAAAGGGCCATAAATAGAGAACATGGGTAATGCTGAATAATTAAATACATTCTCTCTCCACTTCCCTCCCTCTTCATCTTCCACTCTCTTTCTTTCTCCCTCCTTTTAGCTTTTGTTGTCACTCTTTTATCATCCGCTGCCTCCTCATCAGTATTTCCTCCCTCTGTTCTGCCACATCGCTCTCCTCCGCTGCCTCTCTCTCTTTTTTTTATTTTATTTTATATCATGCTTTTGTACTGTCTCCCCCTTCTCTCCTTTTTTTCTCTTTCTGATGCCTGTGAATATTTGATGGGGCTTATGGGAGTTGCACTTCCCCGAATTG